TTTAGCACTCCGGGAGGCTGAGAAGGGAGGATTGCCTGAGCTCAGGAGTTCGAGACCAGCCTGGGCAACAATGAGACCCTGTCTCTACTAAAAACAGAAAAATTAGCTGGATGTGGTGGCACATGCCTGTAGCTCCAGCTACTTGGGAGGCTGAGAAGGAGGATCGCTTGAGCCCAGGAGTTTGAGGTTACAGTGAGCTATATAAACATATAATATATATATATATATTCATATATATAAAAGATTACAACAGGTATGAGCCACCATGCCTGGCTCACTATTTTATTCTTAAAATGAACACTGTGGTTGAACATTCTAAAACATAAATTTTGGGGTCCATCTCTGATTATTTCCTTGGGATAAATTCCTGGAAGAGAGAGTATACCATCAAAGGATGTGGACATTGGTAAGGACCCTCTGCCTGTGTATATGACCTTAGGCAAACCCCTTCGACATATTTGAGCCCCAATTTTCTCATCAGTAAAATGGGGTAGGTTGATGGGAAGAGTAAATAAATGAGAGACTGTGTTAAAACAGTGGACAAGGGATGAGCCCCAAACCAGTGCTGGTTATTGGGTGTTCATTACCTTTTCTCATGTCCTTTGTTGGGAGGGAAGACTAGATTTCACTGAGATCATTTGAGCCTGCGAGGCCCGAGTCACATGCTGCTCCCTCATGAGCAAGTTGGTATTGAGGAGACAGCTCTCCAGCCATCTTGCTTGTGCCTAAATTAGGCCATAGGAGAGTGTGAATGGTTCCCTGCCAAACTGTCACCACTCCTAGGGCCTAAAAAAACCCCAATGAGCTTACTAGTGACTGGTCTGTATTATCATCTTGTCATCGTCAACCCTCATGCATAAGAGAGACACCAATGAAGGAAAGAAGCTATTATCTGAGGAGGAGGAGGTGTCATGAGTGACAGGGGGAAGGAATTTTGTGAGCAGTTTGGAAAAATTTGAAACTTCCCCTGCTCAAACCATGGGAAAAGTGTCTCAGCTAGAGGAACCACTTGAGCGCATCAGTCTGCATGAGGTTCCTTCTCTCCTGGGGCCCAGAGTACAGGAAGCCCTTCGAGTCTGGGGGTGTGGCGGAGTCCAGAGGCTTTGGGGAGAAGCAGTGGAGGTCGGTGCCAGCAGACCACCGCACGCTCCCTCCCGAGGGGCCCTGCCGCTAGAGCTGGCACCCGGGTACTCCTCACAGAGGTTTCACCGCGGGGATCCCAAGAAGGGTTTTGTTGGGACTGTACCATGTTTTAAAAAAACGCTTGAGCCAAAATTTAAAATTGGGAGCGTTTCACATAAAGACCCAGATTTTTGGCGTCTTTTCAGAAAACGAGAAGACTTAGGAACAGGGAATCTGGAATCCCATGTGACGCTGTCAGCTGGGGCTGAGGAGTGGGTCCCCCCGGTCCCCGCCTGCCCAGTCCGCCTTCTCTGTTTGTATTACCTGCCTGGCCCCTGAAAGCCGTTGAGTCTGGGACCCCTCCCAGGTAGTGTCATAAAAGAACACTCTGGAGTCTAATCCGCCAGGCTCTGATCCTAGCTCTCCCATGACTGCTTACTTGAGGAAGTGAGGAAGGCGTGCAACCTCCTTGTGCCTCAGTTTCCTCAACTGTAAAATGGGGATAAGAGCAGTGCCCATTTCAGGGGATGTTGAGAGGAATTAATGATGTAAAGCAACCATCCGCAACCTTTTTGACACCAGGGACAAGTTTCATGGAAGATAATTTTTCCACAGACCTGGGGTCGGGGTGGTTTCAGGATGATTGAAGGACATTATATTTATTGTGCACTTTATCTCTATTACTATTGTAACCTACAATGAAATAATTCTATAACTCACCAAATACAGAATCAGTAGGGGCCCTGAGCTTGTTTTCCTGCAACTAGACACGTCCCATCTGGGAGTGATGAAAGACAGTGACACCCAAAGTGTGTTGCTTATGTCCAGTCTACTCCGTAATCTCGTTTTGTTTGCTGTCACTGCAGAAAACCCTGCTTCACAAAGATGGGACATTAGAAATGGAAGCAGGCTTTCCAGTGCTTTTGTGGCAATCTCAGGATGTTGTGCCTTGACTTTAATCCAAAACGTGGGAGACTTGAGGTTTTCTCACACATACCTTTAAGGCCACCGTCATTTGCAATCTCAAGCAGTTGATCCTCTTTGAGCACGCACAAAGTCGGTTCACCTGGCTTATTCACAAATGGGTTGCAGACCCATTCCTTCCCAGTTCAGGGATCTTTTGTGGTTTGGAAGTAATGCTCAAACTCTTTTGAAAGCCGAGATAGACGATCATGCACCAGCTGGGAGAAAGAAGGCCCTGGCTCAGACTGTCTCAAAATCTCTGCTAATGTTTGAAACATGTCAAAAATCCAAGTGTTCACTCGTTGCTCCCATAATTCCTGTTTGGTCTTGAATGCAGCGACTTTATTTGCCGACTTGAACAGTTAGTTGTCTTTCTCCCCTGAAGTGACAGATTGAGTTCATTGAGCAGGTTGAATATGTCACACAAGTAAGCAAGTTTTGCGACCCATTCTGTGTCACTGAAATGTGCTGCCAGTGGTGACTGTTCTTCTAGAAGAAATCTCTGGAGTGGCGCTCATAACTCAAAAACTCTGGCCAGTGATCTACCTTTAGAAAGCCATCTCACTTACGCGTGTAAGAGAAGACATGTGTGCTCTGAGTCCATCTCACAGAGCTGAGCGAACAGATGTCAATTAAGGGCAGGTTCTTTAATGTGGTTGCAAAGTGTTGTTTAATTCAGATGACGTTTTTTGGCTAGCCAGCATTTTTCTGTGGATGACATAGTACATAGACACACATACAGAAGCGACCTCCTTGACCCAAGTAGTGAAACCAGAAAAGCCATCCAGTCATGGCAGTTGCTCCATCTGTGCATATAGTGACACAAAATGACCAGTTCAGTTTTCCTGACACGTAATCATTCAAAGACTTGAATAGCTCTGCAGATATGGTATTGGCAACAAAAGTGCACATAGCATAGCCTCATGCACACCCTCCTGAAAAATATATCCCACAAAAATAAGCATTGGTCCCTTCTTGTCAATATGGGTAGACTCATCAACCTGGATTGAATACCACAGTGACTCATTAATCCTCTCTAACAATTGTGCCTCAATATCCTCTGCTATCAGCCAGGCTCCGTGGCTCATGCCTATAATTCTAGCACTCTGGAAGGCCGAGATGGGAGGATCGCTTGAGGTCAGGAGTTAGAGACCAGCCTGAGCTAGAGCAGGATTCTGTCTCTACTAAAAATAGAAAAAAAAAATTAGCTAGGTGACTAAAAATAGAAAAAAATTAGTGGGGCGTGGTGATGCATGCCTGTAGTCCCAGCTACTCGGGAGGCTGAGGCAGGAGGATCACTTGAACCCAGGAGTTTGAGGTTGCTGTGAGCTAGGCTGATGCCACAGCACTTTAGCCTGGGCAACAGAGTAAGACTCTGTCTCAAAAAAAAAAAAATCCTTTGCTATTTCATCCATTCGTCTAGTTATGGTGCTAGCTAAAAGAGGAACACATGCCACCTTTGGAACTACAGCCTCTCCTAAAAGTTCACTGCCAATGTCCTTAGCAGCAGGCAGGATCAACTCTTCCCCAGTAGTAAAGGGCTTCTTAGCTTTAGCAATGCTGTTAGCCACTGAGAATGACGCTCTCAGTACAGACACATTCGATGAAATGGTGGCCTTCAATAATTGCTTCTGTTCTTCGTGTTCAGGTTTTTTTCTTCTGCGAAACTCCAAAGGCTTGTCTTTTAATGCAAGGTACTTGGTCTCCCATGTGGTGAAGCAGTTTTGAATGTTTCATGGCTTTGGTGGATAGCCAGTCGCCACATAGTATACAAAGTGGGCTTGGAGAATGTGAATCACCTGTTGCAGTGAACCCATAATTTAAGTAGGACTGCCTCAGCCTCCCAAGTAGCTGGGACTACAGGCATGAGCCACCATGCCCAGCTAATTTTTTGTATATATATTTTTCAATTATATTTGGTCAATTAATTTCTTTCTATTTTTGGTAGAGACGGGGTCTCGCTCAGGCTGGTTTCAAACTCCAGACCTCAAGCAATCCGCTCGCGTCAGCCTCCCAGGATTACAGGTGTGAGCCACCATGCCCAGCCAAGCTGCCACCACTATTAAAAGCTTAGTGGCCACTAACCCCAGCCCCAGTGGCCAAGAGTCTTTTCTAACTGTGGCTCTGGCCACTGAGCCACCGTAGAGGGGGAATGTGGACATCTCCTCCAAAAGGGCAACGTTGCCATGATCGGCAGCATGCTGGCTGCTGTCTTTGGCACACGCTGACAGCGATGCCCTGAGCAGGAATTGAGCCTTTGCTGTGTGCTAGACCCTGCTCTGAGGCCCCGACCTGCAGCATCCCTTTCCCGCTGTGAGGTTGGCTCTGTGTTGGTGCCCATGTTACAGATGAGGCGTCTGAGGCGTGGAGGAGGTAAGGAGCTTCCCGAGAGTCACCAGACTGTACAGGACAGAGCTGGATTTTGCTAGTGATGGTCAAGTTCGAGTGTCGGCCCCAATGCTCTAAGCCATACTGCTTCAGGCCCACCGGCCAGCCACAGGCTGTCCCAGCTGCCCCTGCGTGTGACTCTAGGGGATGTCTCAGCAGGGCTCAGGACCTCCCCCCACTGTACCCCTCTTAATGCCAACCCCAACAGTGAGGAAGTATTTCCTGGCTCCTGTTTTGGAGGGGGAGGCGAGGGGTGGGGGTGTCAAATCCAGGCAGCCAGTCCTCAAGTGGGCCTGGGCATTTGGATGCACAGGATCTTTCTTATTTGCATTTGAGCGAATGAGTCTATGCTGGTAATGAACATTGAGAAGAAAAGTGTAGGCGCCGTCTACAGTCGGATGACATGAGTCAAGGAATTATCTTGGTGATGGTGGCCTCCAAGGCCCTGCCTGTGAATCCCAGGCCCTTTTGGACTCTTCCTTGTCACAGCAGCCTGTTCTGGGTCCTCTGTGTGGATGGCAGGTGCCAGTCCTCGTGCGAGCACTGCCTGTCCCTGGTCCAGGCCTGGCGCTGGATGGGCTTAGGTGAATGGTTCTTGGACTGCAGCTCCCTTCCTGTTTGGAGCATCTCATGAGAGAGTGTTCTTACAGTCTTTACCTGAAGCTCCAGCGACAACTGGGAGGTCAGGTGACTGGACACGGATGTGCCTTGCTGTCTATAGCAAATTGCTAAGTAATTCCTCTCCCACTGCCCAGCTGCATGCTCTTGACATAGGGGAGGCCAGGCCAGGGCCTGGGACACACGTGGCACTGGCAGGAAGAAGAGGAGCCCCTACCCTGGGGCTTTTAACCTGCTGGTGACTGTAAGTGGCGGTGCCAGTTTGGGGAGGGGAGTGATATGAAAGGGGAACCGGCTTCCTCCAGACAGAGGTGTCAGCTGCTCAGGAGTAGCCCAGACAGGAAGGAGAGGACAGCAGGGAGGGAGCGGGAGGAAGTTTATGCAAAGCTGTCACTGTGGACCAGGGGCCCTTCCCTCATGTGTCTCCACCCTGGAGCAAGCAGGTGCCATCAGCAGCACCCAGACGTGAGTGTACAGCGAGCGATAACTGGTGTGTCAGTTCCCTCCTTGTCAGAGCCCCAGTGCTGCAGCCACATTATGTAAAAGGCTGTCCCCTGTGGGTGCCTTGTCCCTAGAAGGAAGTCTGCTCTGAAGCCCCAGAGGTCCCCAATTGATGTATTCCGTGGCTTCCTCCACCTCACCAACCTGTTAGAGCCGAACTGCCAGGATTTGGGTTCCTCTGGCTGGAGAGGGGGTCCACACCTGGGAGGTGGCCTCTGTCCTGGAGACTGCATGGTGGCTGGGGGACAGCCTCTGGGCTGCTTCTGACCCGAGCCCCAGCAGCCTGGCAGCCCCTGCCTGTCAGTCCCAGGCATCAGGAGGTGCCTGCCCAACTCGTGCTCTTTTCCCCCTTTCTGGGCTGGGTGCTGGAAGGGGCGTCTCGGTGAGGAGGACTGCCAGGTTACACCTGTACTGCTTAGATGTGGCGCTGGTGGGAAAGTGGGGTGTTGAAGGAGAACTGGGGCCCCTGTGCCTCTGTGGAACCCCTCCAAAGCAGCTGGGCCCCAGCAAATACAGCCCCAGCAAGACCTGGTCCAAAATATGTCTCTCTGCCTGCTACCCTGACTTACTCCCTGACAGTCCAAGTTTGGGCTCTGGCAGGTCCCGTAAATGTTCCCGTGATACTGGGTGGGTGACTCCTGCCGAGGATACATAAACCCCTCCTGGGACCCCTCCCCCTGCCCAGGACACCACCCTGTGGGGCTGGGACTCCAGGTAAACCAGTTTTGATCTAGCACTTGAGCAAGAGTGAACTTCAAACCCAAAGGAACTTAGGCCCAGTATTAGCATTCCTGGTAAGCCTTGAAGTTAATGACTATTTAAAATTCGAAACAGTTGGTGAATCAACCTAAGTTTTTCTAAAATTGTTAAAAGATGTAAAACATTGGAATCATCAACATAAGCTCCAAATTAGGAATGCCATCAAGTGCCAGGAGAGAAGTAATGGCTGGGATGGCATCCTGACAGGGTCCCCGGAAGGAGGGGGTGACAAGGGAAGAGGCTCATGACAGAGCCCCCCCCCAGGGTGGGACTCCTCTGGGGGGATATTCCTGGGTGTCTGGTGGGCTGGCAGTTCCAGGGTGGCCGCCTCTAGTGACCAGAGCTCTCTCTGTCCCCAGATTCCCATACCGAGTGTGCCTACGTTCCAGCCGTCTACGCCCGTCCCTGAGCGCCTGGAAGCCGTGCAGCGCTACATCAGGGAGCTGCAGTATCCTCTCTGGTCCAGGGTCATGGCCACCTTCTGGCTGGTGTGATGGGTCCAAAGGCCAAGTGGGGCCTGTTTCCAGACAGAGCCGGAGAGGCGTCAGCAGAGCCACCTCATTCCCCAACTCCGGGGCGCCATTTGCACGGCAGCTCTGTGCTCCCTGCAGCTGTGGGACACGGCCTGTGTGCCCCCAGTATTGGAGGAATTCTGACCAGTGGGTGCTGGGCCCACTCCACCCTCCCGCCGTGTGATGGGGCAGAGAGAGGGAGAGGTGTCCTGGCGACTTCTGGTGCTGTGGCCAAGCCAAGAGCTCCTCTGTCTCCATCCAGCCCTAGCAGAGAGAGGAAGAGGGAACAGGCTCGGACTGTTTAAAGACTGAGTTTTAAAGTAGGGGACATAGAAGAGAAAAAGGTTTTCGTGCTCCAGGAGCTAACTTCCACATCTTGGAAATTACTCCTGGTTCTCCTTTTTCTTCCCTGGCAGGAGGCTGGTTGCCCAGCATAGAAAGAGCTGGGCTTCCGAATCCAGATTCCTCTGTGCCCTGCTCTGGACCCATCCAGCCCCTGCACCCTGCCCCTGGGTCCTCTTCCCCATCCTCCCAGCTGCAGACGAGGTCAGAGGTGGGAGAACCGGGCATGGGTCCTGGGTGGGTGGAAGGCCAGGCTGATGACTGAAAAGTGGGTCCAGCCCCTCCCCTTGCCAGCAGCACAATTGTGGCCCAGTGAGGGGAGGTGGCTGGCTCAGGATCACCCAGCAATTAGAGGCCACATTGGACCCCCACCCACGGCCTTCTCCTCCCAGTCCATGTTGCGTCTCAGCTGGTTGGGAAATGATGTGCTGCAGAGAGATGTTCCCAGCCTCAGCTCTTCCTGAGGTGGGCTGGCTGGGCTGGCTGCCTGCTCCACATCTCCCGTCCTGGGAAGGGAGGCCGGGGGGGCAAGGGGGTGACGCTAAGGAAGAGGAGGGAGAAGGACACAGAGGCTTCTCTCCCTGCCAGGAGATGTGGGCCTTGAGCACCTTCCAAGGTATCTTGCAGGAGACACTGTTGGGGCACTAACCCACCCTGCACCCCTGGGAGTGCTGGATGCCTAAGGTCTGGGAGGTGGCCAGGGAGAGAGGGGCGACCTCCTCCCGACCAAGCCAGGAAGCCCTTAACTGGCGCCTGCAGGTACAATCACACAGGGACACAGTTCTTTGAAATTAAGAAGAGCAGACCTCTGACAGGGTGAGTATGGGGTGGCCGGTCCTCTGCCCAGGTTGGGTTGGAGCCTCTTGGAGAGCTTCTGGTGTGCCTTGGGTGGAAGCTTATGGGGCAGGCAGGGACTCTTCCAGGGAAGCCCGACATGGGGGCACCCTGGGGACAGGTACCACCCGGGTGTCACATGGAGAGAAATCTGGTGAGAAGAACAGCCAGGGCTAACTTGATGAAAAGGAAACCCCTGCATCCATGCTGAGCTAGCAGGATAGGGGAGAGCCCCCCAGTGTGCCTTGGGGAGGAGAGAGGGTGGTCCCAGGTAGACTGGCTGAACCTCAGATCATTGTCTTTATTGAGAAGTGGGCAGAGTAGGAGAGAGCCCTTCCCCTTCCTCTGTCCCTGTGCACTCCCCTCACAGGGGACTTGCCCTGTCACCCCATTTGCCTTACTGGACTCTCTTCTGGTCATTTAGCAGAAGGCCCAGTTTCTGAGCAGGGACCCCACTGGAATGTTGCATCTCTCACTTCCTAGCCCACCCACTGCGTGTAGACCCCTGGCTGGATTCGCTGGCTCTAGAAAGTTTCTGCCCATGAAGCCTCGTGGCAGAGCAGAGTGAGGAGTGAATGCCTGGGGCCTGGGGGCTCGGCCCAAAGATGCCCCCAGGCTTAAGACCCCCCCCTCAGGTTTTAAAAATGTATGTGAGTTTTACATCTTGCTCCACACATAATCCATGTCTGCTTTCTTGTGAAAAATTCTTTAAATGGCTTATTAGCAAAATTACTTTTTTTAGCATATTATGAGGGTACAAGTGTTAAGGTTACATATATTGCCCATGCCCCCCTCCCCCCTCGAGTAAGAGCTTCAAGCGTGTTCATCCCTCAAATGTAGCAAAATTACTTAATTACTTCTTCTCCAAGGCCCTGGGTAGAGTCCAACCTCGCTAACCCCAGTGCTCTTGTTGTCCTGTGGCCACTGTGTGCTGAGGGCCCACTCCAGCCTCCTGTGGCAGGGGGGAGTGCGGCCCCCAGGCGGGGGCAGCGTTTGGGGAAGAGGGAGGAGCCAGCCCTCAGGAGCAGGCTGGGGAGTCACCAGACAGCCATCCCCTGAGATCCCACAGCGGGCCTTGCAGCTGTGGGGGAGGGGGGGCCCACTGTCAATTAACAAGCTCTTCCCAGAAGCCATGGTAGGGTCAGGGGTGTCCACAGAGGCATTCCAGAAAGGAAGAGGTCAACACTGAGGCCCCACCTTCCCCCACTGCCCTCACAGAAAGCCTCAGCCCAGTGGCTGTCAAGGTCCCCCCTCCACCCCCCACCGTGCTCCCCTCCCCCAGGGAGCTGTGGGTCAGGAGCCAGGCAGGGAGGAGGAAGTGAGGGAGAGAGGCCTCCTTCCTGTCAGGGTGGGCAGGGGTGGGGGTGGTACTGGGTCTGAGCTGAGAGCAGCTGGGGGGGGCGAGAGGCGTCTGTGCTGGCGTCTAGTGCACCCTGCCCCTCCTCCCCACACTCTCCCACCGGAAGTGGCGGAGGTGCTGTCCTCACAGTTCTGCCTCCCTCTCCCACAGGCTGATGGACCTGGCCAAGGAAATGACCAAAGAGGCTCTGCCAATCAAATGCCTGGAAGCCGTGATCCTGGGAATGTATCCTTCCTCCCCCTGGGAGGCCTGGGGCCAGGCGGGCCAGCCACCAGCCCCTCTGGGCCTCTGCTTCCTGCTTGGAAGGACAGGGCATGAAGGAGCTTTAGGGCTCCCAGCCCTCCCTATGCAGTTGTCTGCCTGGCCCCAAGGTAGGGGGATCCCCAAGACAGAGAAGGCCCCCCCCAAGGTGAGGGAGGCCCCCCAAGGTAGAGGAGCCTCCACAAGGTGAGGGAACCACCCCAAGATAGAGGAGGTCCCCCAAGGTAGGGAAATCTCCTAAGGTGGAGGAGGTGGGGGACCCAGTACCCCCAGCCTCAGTTGCTACTTTCCCGGGCTTGCTGGGCAGCTCTTTTTTGAATCACATGGGCACAATGACCCTGTTCTCTGAACCCAGAATTGGGGCACACTGTCTTACAAAGGCTGTTGTACCATTTCCAAGAACCAGACACTGGCAGACACAGTTGCGATGCCCAGATGTTGGCATTTCCAGGACATGTTGATTTGTGGAGATGACGAACAGGATCTCTAAAGCCGAACTAACTTTAAAAAGCACCAACAGGGCTTCCTGGGTACTCCCACCCGAAGGGCAGAAATGGTGCCTGTAGCTGGGTCAACAGAGTGGCCGGGGACAGACAAGCCCCCAGGAGAGGCTGCCGTCCCCTGTCCCCTGACCACACCAGGGGGAGAAGAGGCAAATGCTCATGGCCAGGTCTCTGTCCTAAGTGGTCAGTGCCTGAGCATTGCCTTTTTTTTTCAGATGTTATGGTATAAAAAAAATTCATACGTATACAACATAGAACAATATAATGAATTCCCATGTGCCCATTACTTAGCTTCACCAACTCAAGGCCAATTCTGTTTCATCTCTTCCCACACCTCCCATCTCCCCTACCAGCTTTTAAACATTCTCCTGTCCCCCTGGGGCAGGCGGTGCCCGGCTCAGGACCGGAGGAGCACAGATTAGGGGACGGCCAGGAGGGCGCCGGGGTCATGTTGGAACAAGGAGGCCGTGCAGGGGCCACCTGGTGGCTTGTGGGCAGGAGGAAAACAGGAGCCACCCCCATGTAGGTGAGGGGCTCTTCCCTAGCGTCCCCACAGCAATGGCAGCACCTATGGTGGGCCCTGAACTGCATTAGTTCCCATGTCTCACTGCACTCAGCCTCTGCAGGGCAGGGTGGTGCCTTTCTCATCTCTGTATCCCTGAGGACTCACAAGGAATGGGGCTCAGTAGGCACCGTGGAATGAGTCTAGCACTGCCGGGAACGTGGCATGGTGTCTGACAGCACAGACTTTGGGGTCAGGCTGACCTGGACTTGAATCCTTGCTCTGCCACTTACTCACTGTGTGGCCCCCAAGTAAGTTCCTTAACATCTCTGAGCTTCTGAGTCCTGCTCTGCCAGGGGGGATAGTGGCAGCGCCTGTTGCACAGAGTTGTCAGGGCAGTGGAACAAGCCCGTGCATGTAAGACCTGTGGTCCCCAGTCCCCAGCACTGGCCCATGGCCCCGTTAAGATCCAGGCCACACAGCAGGATGTGAGTGATGAGGGAGGGAACGCTTCATCTGTGTTTACAGCCGCTCCGGGTCCCTCGCCTCACCACATAAGCTCCGCCTCCTGTCTCAGCAGCAGCAGCAGCATTGGGTTCTCATAGGAGCATGAACCCTGCTGTACACTGCGCATGCGAGGCATCTAGGCCGTGCGCTCCTTATGAGAATGCAATGCCTGATCTGAGGTGCAGCTGAGGCGGCGATGCTAGCGCTGAGGAGCAGCTGCAAATGCAGGTTATCATTAGCAGAGAGGTTTCACCGCACAATAAATGCGCTTGAGTCATCCCGAAACCATCCCCCGTCCCACCCCCGGGGTCCACGGAAAAATTGTCTTCCATGAAACTGGTTCCTGGTGCCAGAAAGGTTGGGGAGCGCTGTTAAGACAGCGCCTCTATGTGGTTACCCGTTGATCTCCAACCTGTCTGTGCAAGAAGAGCCTCGCTGAGTATCATGTGCCCGGCTCAGCTGGGCCCTGGAGAAAGAGCAAAGAAAGGGATAGATAAGGTCCCTGTCCTCAGATGTCTACATTCCAGCGGGGGGAGCCTAAATAAGTAAACCCAGAAGCAGGTGAAAGGAGGTTATGCTGAGTGTGGTGGAGGAAACGGCAGCAGGCTTGCTTTGGAGAGGGAGGCCAGGAAGACACCAGCTCCCAGGGAAGAGCCGGCAGGGGTGCCAGGGGGAGCCGGGTGGCTGGGGAGGTCGGCGGGTGGGCAGTGGTCTGAGGCTGGATGGTCGTGGTGAGAGAAAAGAGACTGAGCAGAATTGTGTACATCTGTGAGGACATGTACGTGTGAGGGAGGAAGAAAACGTGACGCTGTGTCCGAGGGTACGTTAGGCTGAGAGTGCGCCACGGCGGAGGAGGGGCTGGAGGCGGGGAGACAGGTGCAGGGGCCAGTGCGGTTAGGTTTGGTGATTTTGTGAGCCCTGCTCGACATCATAGCAGCAGTCACGAGTCTCTGGGAGCCTTGTGCCTATTAGAGGTTCCGTTTCCTGGGCACCTGCTGTATCCCAGGCTGCATGCTGGATGGCAGGAATGTGGAAGTGAGTGGGGCGGGGTGTCTGCGCTGGCGCTGCAGGGGCCGTCCCTGTCCCAGCCCGTGCGCCCGCCCCACGCTCGCCCTGCCTCTCCCTGGCGCTTTCCTTAGCTGGGGGCCTGGCCAGTTACCTCACCAACAGCATGCCCACCCTGGAACGCTTCCCCATCAGCTTCAAGACCTACTTCTCAGGGAACTACTTCCGCCACATCGTGCTGGGGGTGAACTTCGGGGGCCGCTACGGCGCGCTGGGCATGAGCCGGCGCGAGGACCTGATGTACAAGCCGCCGGCCTTCCGCACGCTCAGCGACCTCGTGCTGGACTACGAGGCCGCCTACGGCCGCTGCTGGCACGTGCTCAAGAAGGTGAAGCTGGGCCAGAGCGTGTCGCACGACCCGCACAGCGTGGAGCAGATCGAGTGGAAGCACTCGGTGCTGGACGTGGAGAGGCTGGGCCGCGAGGACTTCCGCAAGGAGCTGGAGCGCCACGCCCGGGACATGCGGCTCAAGGTCAGGTCCACTTTCAGCTCCCCCCACCCGCCCGCAGGCGTAGTGGGGGACCCTCTAGTCCCGCCCAGCAGAGGTGGAGTGAGGAGCAAGGGAGATGAGGCGGACACTTACGCCCAGGGCCAGGCCCTGCTCAAAGCTCCGCATTGTTGGTGTTCCCCTCAGGTGGGCAGACTAGGGCTGGGGGACTGGGCGAGCTGCGCTGGGACAGTGGTAGGTGTTGGACACACGGAGACAGGCAGGTGGGGGGACTTGGGAGTCAGGTCTGCTGGTGGGAAATCATGGCCTGTCTGGAGGGGGGAATCGTGGCGTGGGTGGCTGGCAGCCTGGGTAACTCCTCCTGTGTATGCTCCTGACTCTGGGCCCCCCCCCCCACCTGCGTCCAGTAGGGGACTAGGAGGAGGTTAGAAGAAATAGGAAAGTGAGACCAGGGGAAAGACAACGAGGGTGGCAGTTTTTTCTCCTTCTTTCCTCTCTACAGATGCGTAGAAGTCTTGGGAGGGAGATGTTGTGCCCAGAGCAGTTAGGCTGGGCTGTTGAGGCAGAATACTGACCTCTCCCTGGGGCCCCCTGGATGGGGGGGCTGCTCCCCTGGGCAGAGGGCCAGGACCCCCTGGGTGTCCCCTCCCTGTTGCTCAGTCATTGCTAGGCTGTGACTCTGCCCCTCCAGGCAGTCTGGTGCCTCTGCCTCACCCACTAACCTCTGCACTATGCATGCAGTATTTCTCCCGACAGCCCTGCAGGCCCGTGGGCAGTAGGTGACGCTCCATTTTCAGGGCAGGAAGCCCAGTGTCTAGCTGTCAGACAGTGAGAGGCAGGTCTGGCTGGAGCTCAGCCCTGATGGGGAATCCGGGCAGCTAGGGCTGCCCTAGCCCTGCCTTCCCCCAGGGCAGAAGCAGGCTACAGCCGCCCGCATTGGAGAGTGGCTGCCCTCCTCTCCCTCTGAGCTGGACCTCCCCGCCTAGCTCTGGGTCGCCCAGCACCCTGGCTTTTGCTGCTCAGAATGTTATTGTGTCTTCAAGGCAGTGAGTTGCATCTAGAGTTGGAGCCAACTCTAGTGTTAGCCTGGTTTTTAGCACCGTGATTCCCGACCCATTCAGTGCTAAAGCTCACATGTTATGTGCCCCCCTCCAGCACTCCCAGGGTGCACCCCATGTTTTGAAAAAGTCAAGCTGACCGTACCACATACAGGATGATTCATTTGTTTTTCTCTTTTTCTCTTTTTTTTTTTTTGTTATTCAAAGAGCTGGAAACTACCAGGTTGCTTTCTGATTTGGCTTGGAGATGATAACAGTTGTTCCTCTGTGGGGGTTGGTGGGATCCCAGCCCCAAGGCTCAAACCCTGGGGCCACTTCCCAACCGGACTATACCTGGTGGTAAATAATGGCCTTTGGCTGTGAGGCTCTGTATGGTACTGTTTTCAAACAGCCTCATCCCCACTCATATTCCTCAGGTCCCTCGATTTTGGGCAGCCCTGCTTGAGAAACCCTGCCCCGCAGCTTTAGGTGCCTAGTGTAGTTGGAAACAGGTCCAAGAACAGGGGCAGAAGTTTGCCTGAGGCTTCCCTGGGTCCCTGCCAGGGCAGCCCGGGGGCACGTGGTCCTCTGGGACGCACCAGGAAGTGATGCTTGTGCCTTTCTCTTCCACCTAGGATTGGCAAAAAGGACAGTCCACCCTCCCAACCAAGACCGGAAGAAGGGGATGTTCTTCCCCGCAGCGGGCCGTCAAGCCCCCCACCGGCAGGACGTCGCACGAGAGACGTGAGAACGATGGTGCCTGGGGTGGTCTGGAGAGCTTTCCCTTTCTCTTTCATCTTCGGTCCTCTTGGCCCATCTTCTCCCTTCCCACCCTCCTTCTTTTGCCCCCCCCAAGGGATATGATTTGGGAATGCATTTGGTTTTGTGTGGACATCTTCCCAACAGCAAGGCGTCTTCCCTAGAAGAAAACAACCCTCAGCTGGGCCACCAGTTACCCGGGAGTGGATCCCTTCCGAGAGGTCCAACACGCAAGCCGAGCAGGCAGCGTGGTGCCAGGAGTGGGGGCGAGGGGATGGGGCTTCCTGCGAGGCAGTGAGTCTCCAGCAGACGTTCGTGGAGGGGAGTCCCAAATATAGGTAGATGGCTTGAACCACAAATTTTTGCAACCAATCTGTGGTTTTTGCTGTATTTTCTTTTTTTTTTTTGAACAGCAGTCTCACTGTGTTTCCCAGGCTAGAGTGAGTGCGCCGGTGTCAGCCTAGCTCACAGCAACCTCAAACTCCGGGCTCAAGCAATCCTCCTATCTCAGGCTCCGAGTAGCTGGGATACAGGCATGCGCCACCATGCCCGGCTAATTTTTTTTTATATATATTTTTAGTTGGCCAATTGATTTCTTTCCATTTTTAGTAGCGACGGAGTCTCACTCTTGCTCAGGCTGGTTTCGAACTCCTGACCTTGAGCGATCCTTCCGCCTCGGCCTCCGGGAGTGCTAGGATTACAGGCCTGAGCCACCGCACCTGGCTGTTTTTGTCTGTATCTTGATGGCAAAACCAAGCTGTTAAAATACCAGGCCGCAGCCTCTGATTTCATCTCCTACATGTCAGTGTGACTCTTGCTTTAAATATAATTGTCATTTAGGAGCCACCTCTCTGGTGTGAATTAAGGGATATCAGACAGGCCTCTGGCACCAAAATATCCACCCATCATCATTGCCTTTGATCTAGGAGGCTTTTGTAGGCGACAGATTTCCCTTGGAGAAATTTATGCTCTGAGGCGTTACCCAGGGACTGCAGCCTGGTTCGCTAACCCACAGTGGAGGGCAGGAGCCTGTGAGAGCCAGGGGCCACCGTCACACACACTCCACTGTGCATTGCAGGGCCCCTTGGAGAATGGAGGGGGAAGACGCAGGGGTGCAGGGACAGCCACTGCCTGCTCCCTCCCCCATCTCTCTGAGGCCCACTCACTGTCCCCCTGCCCTGCTCTCTTCCTCCTTGCAGGCCCTCGGGTGAGAAGAAGCCTCCGGAGCCCAAAGCCATGCCAGACCTCAACGGGTACCAGATCCGGGTGTGAGGCTGGTGCCAGCAGCCCGGGCCTCCCCTGCCCCCAGGGGCCAGGATGCACCTGCTGGAACCAGCTTTGCTCGCAGGGCAGAGAGGCTGGTGTTGGGGCAGGGCGAGCGGCCGCAGGGAGAGTGTGTTCCAGCTCAGCCCCTCAAGCTGCTCCCCGCCCCGCCGAGCTGAGCCCCCTAACTTTGGGCCGAGAGGCAATTAGTATTTTATTTGGAGTTTTAACTCTACAACTGAAGATTAAGATATTTGGGGAAAATGTAAAACAAATGAATCTGCTGAGGCCTGGAAGGCAGGTGTGTAGGAGATCAATGTGCCACGGGTCTGGGTGAGGAGGGGTCGCTGGTTCTGCTGGTGCCCCGGCGTCTCTCTGGGGTTTAGGTGCATCCTGTCTGTGGGAAGTGTCCCAGCCTTCCCAGGCCTGGGGTGCAGGCTGGGGGATGGAGCTGTTTCTCCAGTTCTGCCTGCTCTGGCAGAATCTTGACCCAGGGAAAGGGAAGCTGGATAGGAATGGTCCTTAGAAAGGTCTTCCTGGCCCATAAATCAGGACTTGGCACAGGCCCTGTCTGCCCCCAGAGCAGGAGCCCCTGGCCCAGGAGAGGCTTCAGGCCCTGTGGCTGCCATGGGCAGTGCTGTGTGGGCTGACGCTGCCTGGCATGGCCCCATGCTTGGGGAGCACTACTGGAGGGCCCAGGGGAGCACAACTGGGCACACAGTTCCCAGGCCCCTAACGGGTCTGCTTGCCCAGTCCCAGCTCTGCCCGTTGCTAGAGCCCAGGGGCTCCCTGTGGAGGTTTCTGGGATTTGCAGAGAGCCCAGAGTTGCACTGGGATCGCCATGACTCTGGGCATTGCATGGGTCTGGGCACCAGCCATGGAGCTGTGGCTGGGACAGGGTGATGGGCTGGAATACTCGAGTCTGGGTCTTCCCTGGCAGTGCCAAGAGCGGGTTCTGCTGGGGAAATCAAGACCAGACCAGGATATGTGTGCCCCAGGCCTGCCTCCCCTCCTGAAATCACCCATTTTAGCTTGGAGGTTGCAGTGACAGGCCTGTCGCTGCTCGTGGCAGTTCTTCAGAACCTGAGCAGCTGGGGTTCCCCACAGCCCGCCATCGGCACGAGAGACCTGGTGGGGAAGTGAGAGGACTCGGAGAGAGGCTGGCAGAGCTGGGATGTGTAGGGCAAGGGTGCAGCGTGGCCGCTGAGGAGGGACAGAGCCCGAGGACTGGGGGGTGTAAGTGAGAAAGGGATGTGGGAGGGAGTTGAGGGTCAGGCTGCCTTGACGGGTAGGGAGTTCCCTATGGCAAAGACTAGTTGGTAATTGTCAGGAAGCTGGAGGGAGGATTCAGGTTGTGGAAGGGCAAATGGATGAGATGCCCGTTAAGGGTTTGCTGAGAGAGGCTGAGTTGGCCAGAGCAGCTCTGCAGGGCTGCAGAGGGGCCAGGGGCCCGCAGAAGAGAAGGTCAGAACTAGGCTGTGAATGCAAATGTCCACAGGGATGAAAAGGAGGACTGCAGGGCTGGGTGGGGACTGTGGCTAACTCACGAGGACATGCCCCATTAAAGGGCTGCTGCTGCCCAGCTGTTCTCACAGTGCCAGCCCTGCATTACCAGAGTGGCTGACATTTCAGAGGCCAGAATTCTGAATTTTTATGTGAAATCTGATTTTTAAATGTTGGTGATCAGTTCAAAAAAATGTAAAAACCCATTACAGGGGAAAGTGAATGCCAATTTGCAGTATCTGAAGTAGAGAGAGCTTGTGCTAGGGAGAAGCCACTGAGATGCTCTGGTATGTACAAAAGCTCTAAGTTTCCCAGAGCCAGGCTGGGCCAGGAGAGGGTCCTTGCAGCTGAGGAGGAGGAGAAACGCCACCCTGGCTCCTCCCTGAGTCTTCGCTCTTCCTGCAGCCCAGAGGCAAACTCACACCCTTTGCAGTTGCTGGGTCACGGGAGGGGTGGAGTGGATCAGAGACAGTGCAGCTCTGGGCCCACCAGGGAGGCAGAGGGTGCCTTCCAAGCAGAGGAAGAGGAAGGGAGCGAGGAGCCGGGGATGCCTCTGCGGATCAGAGTGCTGGCAGGGCAGGCGCCACAGGCTGGCAGCTCTTCCATCCAGCAGCTCTCAGCCCAGAGCCAGGCCCAGCAGGGCTTCGCCAGAGATCAGTCCCTTGCCTCACCAGTTACTCATGGGGTTGGTGTAAACCCCCCCACACACACACACCGAGGGGTATGGGGACCCCGGACTCGCCATCCTGCCTCAGCTTCCCGGGAGTGGGGATGGCGCGGTCCCCATGTGCCCACGCAGGCTCACCTTGGGAGGTGAGCCTGAAACAAGGTCCCTTCTGGGTCTCCAGGCCACTCATCGGCAGGGGCGTGGCCTTGGCTGCCTCTGGGAACTTCCCGGGAGTGACAGGGTGAGGGGAAGAAGATGTGACAGGGAGCTGCTCCTGATTCCGAGTCCTAGAAGGAGGCTCTAACCCACAGGCTCCTTCCCCGGCCGGCCGTCCAGGGCGAAGGCGAGTGAATCCCTACCCGCTTGCGGTGTGCCCCCAGCGGACAACCCCAGCACTCACCCTTCCCGAGCTGAGCCCTCGGGCCTGTGGTGACACCACAGGACATAGCGGTGCTTTTTAATTTATTTTTAACTGTTTTTCATATGTAGCAACCCCTCCTCCCCTCCTGGGCGTGTTTACACAGGCTCTGCTCCCCTAGGCTGGCCTGGCTGCAAGGTTTCTGGGCAGGCAGAGAGGCAGGGACTTTGGGGCCTTAGTCACCATCCATGGTATCACCTCATCTCACATCCCATGAGGGACAGGGGCCTGGCTGATGGGACCCCGGCGCCCCCTGGCTCAGGACTGCTTCCAGCCCCTCTGCCCCTGCGCGTGGGGGCTGCTGGCTGAGGAGGGGCCAAGGCGAGGTCCGAGAAAGCTGCCTGGGGAAGCGGGCCAGGCTGGGGGGTGACTGCAGGGTCTCCCACAGCCTGGCTCCTTATGCTCAACGCCAGGGATGGAGCGGGGGCGCTGGGCTTTGCCAGCCTTCCTGTGCACCTAACTCACTGCCAGGCCTCCCCCCACAGCCTTCCCGCAATCTCCTGTCCCCTCACCCACCATGCCAGCCAGCCCAGCCTGGCTTGGGTGCAGCCAAGTCGGGAAACAGCAGCCCTGTGGTCCCTCGATGCAATGGTAAAGCCTGGGGCCAGGGTTTTAAGGAGCAGAAAGAGCCAAGAAATAACCATGTCTCATTTCCAGCCCTTTCTGTCATCTCATGCCCCCACCCCTTCCAGCTTGGCCTTGACTTCTGGCTCTGGGAGTCGGTGGCATTCTGGCTGGTGGAGCGCCCAGAAGCCTGTGTGCGCGTGTGCACCTGGTTCTCCTGCCTGGAGTGATTTCTGGCTTGGCCCACCCTCTGCACTGTGTCCTTGGCTGCGCTCAGGTACAGGGACATGTGTGCTGGGCCCAGTGTGCTGGTTGTGTGAAGGGCAGGGAACAGTCCGCTGAGGAGTGGGAGACAGGGAGTCTGCCCACCAGAGAGCGTCCCTCCTTCCAGCCTCCCTGGGCCAGGCAGGGCTGCTGTGGTGCTAGCTGTGAGCCCGTCAGTGTTGACCTCTCACTCCATCTTGGTGCTCCGGAGCCCCAAGTTTTCCTTCTTCGAGTCTGACGAGAGAAGAAACCTGGGTGTGCTTGGCCTCTGGGGCCTGGTGATGACGGGCCATCTCCTCCCTTACTTAGGCGTTGTGCTGGCTGCAGTGTTGTACTAGCCTGTTCTGTTCTCGTATCAGTATTACCCCCTCCTTCACTTTCACACTTTGTCTCATTCCTGTTGTCACTTTCCCCTGTGAAATGAATAAAGTCTCCCCAGCTCCAGTTGCGTGGGCTGGGCAGAAACTACAACACGTAAGCTCTGTCTCCTTTCCTTTGGGACCTGGGGCCCCAGCCCACACCCACCCTACAGTTCAGCCCCATTGCCCTGGGAAGTGCCTGGCCTGAGGGAAGGGGAGCCTAAAACCAGGGGACGAGAAACCTCCCAGCCCCTGCAGTCATGAAACTTCGGGGCTGGGCTTTCATTCCCAGGCGGTGAAGCCACTGGGTTCCTGTGAACCCTGATCTCCCTCAGGGAGCAGCAGGCCCCACCCACCTCCGCCCGCAGTTGTCTGTACCCAGGATGCATCCCGAGCCCTGCTCTTCCAGTCCTGGTCCACAGCAGTCCAGGAACAAAGGAGAAAGGGGAATGTTCTTCCGGGAGATGAGCTATTTCAGGAAACCATAGCAATAGGGACCCAAAGTCCCATCACGGTGGCCCATCCAGAACCCATGGTGCTTAATGCCATAGCTCTGGAAAACACCTGTAGGTCTACCCACCAACCCCTCTCTTCCTCCCCACTGACCCTCCGGCTGTAGACCTCTTCCCACACTTTAAGATGAGCCCAAACAGTTGAAAGCAGACTTGCATGGAAAATGTCCTTTAGACCCCACAGCATGTTTCAGCCTTAACCTTTCCTGTCCACATCTCTGCTCTCCTTTCATTCAACTTAAGTGTAAAACCCAGACTTGTGAGAGGAGGTAGGACACTTCCTACTTCTCATTCCTGCCAACCCCATGAAGTCCTAGCTAGAAGTGTCACTGAGCATGCAAGACTCCATTGCGGTAGTGTGGTGGTGACCAGGGGGTGGGGGCAGGCCATCTGTTGGGATCCATGAACATCTGGGACCATACACCATCAAGTATGAGGCAGTTTTATTATAGGCTCATTTAAATCCAGCTAAAACGATAGAGCCTTTCAATAAAGGCAACCAGCATCTGTGACTACCTCAGATTGCACACCCTTTCATAAAGTCAGTGTTGGAATTGCATTTAAATTCAGCTAAAACGATAGCCAAGTAAAGGGCCTCATGGGCAAGCTTCAACGAGAGGGGCTCGTACACGGCGGACTCCAGCCTGCTCTCGCACAAATGAGGGCTGGGTAAGTGCTGGGACGAGAATCCGCATCACGAATCAAGCGGGCTCATCGTGGAAACTCTTGGCCACTTACTTAGAACGTAGAAGTGGATGTCAACGCAGGCTCCTGGCAGGATCAGAACCCAGCTTGCGGCAGGTGGGGAGTTACCTCATTTCCTGCTATACATTTGTCAGGCTCACTGCACGTACTTGCCTGATTTAGGCATGTTGCTAAATTGGGTTAGACGTTTAGATGTAGGTGGCCCTTCTCAGACCTTAGAGAACTTCAACCCATTTCTTCAGGACTGAGAAGGCCCATCTGCCAGGATCTGGCATTTTGATGACTACTGTGGAGGGCAGTAGTGAGAGGAAGGAGTCGTCATACCAAGGACCAGGAGACTGGCCCAGATGTGGGCTGCCTGGTAGCCCAGGGGGGTGAGGGGAGGTAGCTGTTGAGGAGGCCTCACAGGTTGGTGGAGATGGGCCACCTCAGGTCAGCTGGAGGGCCAGCACTCTGAGCCTAGCCCACATGACAGTGTGCACACAGGTACATGAATTCTCTACAACCCCTAGCCAGAAAACTTGGTCATGGGAAGCATGAAATCTCCAAGAATTTAAGTGTAGACTCCACCCTTCTCTGCACAGCTGCCTTAGGCCCCAGGCCCTGGGATCACAGGCACTAACTACAGATGGGGCAAAGGGCAGAGTTCCCTTCAAAACCCATGAAATTCACCCTCTCCTGATCCCAGCAGATCTGCACCCCTACAAGCTCTCATCTGGCTGGCCCTTGCCTGGAACAGTTTTGTCTTGCACATTTGCTGGTGGGGAGAGGAGAGGCGGGATGTCTGGGTGTTGGGCGCCCAGGGCCATGGGGCAGCGCCCCCTGGTGGAAACCAGAGGTGGACCCTCCTCCTCCTGGGAGAAAAGCTGCACTGCATTATGCAGCCAATCAAAAACCAACCCTCTGGGTTTTCAGCTCCGAGGAGGCCAAGGTGCAACTTTCTTCGGTCGTCCTGAATCTGGGTTCATCCGACACCAGCCGCCTCTACCACACCACCTAAGTTTGACCCCAAAAGAGATCAAAGTCCTGTACCTGAGGTGCACCGGTGGCAAAGTTGGTACCCTGGCCCCCAAGACTGGCCCCCTGGGTCTGTTTCCAAAAAAGGTTGGTGATGACATCGCCAAGGCAACTGTTGACTGGAAGGGTCTGAGGATTATAGTGAAACTAGCTATTCAGAACAGACAGGCCCAGATTGAAGTGGTACTTTCTGCCTCTGCTCTGATCATCAAAGCCCTCAAGGAACCACCAAGAGACAGAAACAGAAAAACATTAAACACAACGGAAATGTCACTTTTGATGAGATTGTCAACATTGCCAGACAGATGCGGCACCAATCTTTAGCCAGAGAACTCTCTGGAACCATTAAAGAGATCCTGGGCACTGCCCAGTCTGTGGGCTGCAATGTTGATGGCCGCCACCCACATGACATGATAGATGACATCAACAGTAGTGCAGTGGAATGCCCAGCTAGTTAAAAAGTACAAAGGAAAATATTTCAATAAAGGATCATTTAACACGAAAAAAAAAAAAAAAATCTTTTTTTTTTTTTTTGAGACAGAGTCTCACTGTGTTTCCCAGGCTAGAGTGAGTGCCGGGTGTCAGCCTAGTCAAGCAACCTCAAACTCGGGGCTCAAGCAATCTCCTATCTCAGCTCCGAGTAGCTGGGACTACAGGCATGCGCCACCATGCCGGCTAATTTTTTTATATATATTTTTAGTTGGCACATTGATTTCTTCCATTTTAGTAGCGACGGAGTCTCTCCTTGCTCAGGCTGGTTTCGAACTCCTGACCTTGAGCGATCCTTCCGCCTCGGCCTCCGGGAGTGCTAGGATTACAGGCCTGAGCCACGCACCTGGCTGTTTTTGTCTGTATCTTGATGGCAAAACCAAGCTGTTAAAATACAGGCCGCAGCCTCTGTTTCATCTCCTACATGTCAGTGTGACTCTTGCTTTAAATATAATTGTCATTTGGAGCCACCTCTCTGGTGTGAATTAAGGGATATCAGACAGCCTCTGGCACCAAAATATCACCCATATCAATTGCCTTGATCTAGGAGGCTTTTGTAGGCGACAGATTTCCTTGGAGAATTTTATGCTCTGAGGCGTTACCCAGGACTGCAGCCTGGTTCGCTAACCCACAGTGGAGGGCAGGAGCCTGTGAGAGCCAGGGCACGTCCACACATCCACTGTGCATTGCAGGGCCCTTGGAGAATGGAGGGGGAGACGCAGGGGTGCAGGGACAGCACTGCCTGCTCCTCCCCATCTCTCTGAGGCCACTCATGTCCCCTGCCTGCTCTCTTCTCCTTGCAGGCCTCGGGTGAGAAGACGCTCCGGAGCCAAAGCATGCAGACTCAACGGGTACCGATCGGGTGTGAGGCGGGTGCCAGCGCCGGGCTCCCCTGCCCCAGGGGCCAGGATGCACTGCTGGAACCAGCTTCGCTGCGGGGAGAGGCTGGTGTTGGGGCAGGGCAAGCGGCGCAGGGAGAGTGTGTTCCAGCTCAGCCCTCAAGCTGCTCCCCGCCCGCCGATGAGCCCTACCTTTGGGCGAGAGCAATTAGTATTTTATTTGGAGTTTAACTCTACCTGAGATTAAGATATTTGGGGAAAATGTAAAACAAATGAATCTGCTGAGGCTGGAAGGCAGGTGTGTAGGGATCAATGTGCCACGGGTCTGGTGAGGAGGGTCCGCTGGTTCTGCTGGTGCCCCGGCGTCTCTCTGGGTTTGGGTGCATCTGTCTGTGGGAAGTGTCCCAGCCTTCCCAGGCCTGGGTGCAGGCTGGGGGATGAGCTGTTTCTCAGTTCTGCCTGCTCTGGCAGAATCTTGACCCAGGGAAAGGAAGCTGGATAGGAATCGTCCTTAGAAGGTCTTCCTGGCCCAATAAATCAGGACTTGGCACAGGCCCTGTCTGCCCCAGAGCAGGAGCCCTGGCCCAGGAGAGGCTTCAGGCCCTGTGGCTGCATGGGCAGTGCTGTGTGGGCTGACCTGCTGGCATGGCCCATGCTTGGGGAGCACTACTGGGAGGGCGAGGGAGCACAACTGGGCACACAGTTCCCAGGCCCTAACGGGTCTGCTTGCCCAGTCCAGCTCTGCCCGTTGCTTAGAGCCAGGGGCTCCCTGTGGAGGTTTCTGGGTTTTGCAGAGAGCCAGAGTTGCACTGGGGTCGCATGCACTCTGGGCATTGCATGGGTCTGGGCACCAGCCATGGAGCTGTGGCTGGGCAAGGGTGATGGGCTGGAATACTCGATCTGGGTCTTCCTGGCAGTGCCAAGAGCGGGTTTCTGCTGGGGAATCATACCAGACCAGGATATGTGTGCCCCGGCTGCTCCCTCCTGAAATCACCCGTTTTAGCTTGGAGGTTGCAGCTGACAGGCTGTCGCTGCTCGTGGCAGTTCTTCAGACCTGAGCAGCTGGGGTTCCCCATAGCCCGCCAATCGGCCGAGAGACCTGGTGGGGAAGTGAGAGGACTCGGAGAGGCTGGCAGAGCTGGGATGTGTAGGGCAAGGGTGCAGCGTGGCAGCTGAGGAGGAAGACCCGAGGATGAGGGGGTTGTAAGTGGAAAGGGATGTGGGAGGGCGTTGAGGGTCAGGCTGCCTTGACGGGTAGGGAGTTCTATGCAAAGACTAGTTGGTAATTGTCAGGAGCTGGACGGAGGATTCAGGTATGTGGAAGGGCAAATGGGAGAGATTGCTTTAAGGGTTTGGCTCGAGAGAGGCTGAGTTGGCCAGAGCAGCCTGACGGCGCTGCAGAGGGGCCAGGGGCCCGCCAGAAGAAGACGTCAGACACTAGCGCTGTGAATGCAATGTCCACAGGGAATGAAAGGAGGACTGCAGGGCTGGGTGGGGACTGTGGCTAACTCACGAGCCCCTCGCCCCATTAAGGGCTGCTGCTGCCCAGCTGTTTCACAGTGCCAGCCTGCATTACAGAGTGGCTGACATTCAGAGGCCAGAACTTCTGACATTTTATGTGACATCTGATTTTTAAATGTTGGTCGATCAGTTTCAAAAATGTAAAAACCCAATTACAGGGGAAGTGAATGCATTTGCAGCTTCTGAAGTAGAGAGTGCGGGTTGCTAGGGAGAAGCCACTGAGATGCTCTGGTATGTACAAAGCTCTAAGTTTCCCAGAGCAGGCTGGGCCAGGAGAGGTTCTTGCAGCTGGGAGGAGGAGAAACGCACCTGCCTTCCCTGATCTTCGCTTTCCTGCCAGCCAGCAGAGCAAACTCACCCCTTTGCAGTTGCTGGGTACGGGAGGGTAGAGTGGATCAGCAGACGCGTGCAGCTCTGGGCCCACCAGGGAGGCAAGGGTGCCTTCAACAGAGAGGGAAGAGGAGGGAGCGAGGATCGGGTGCCTCTGGGATCCGAGTGCTGGCAGGCAGGCGCAGGCTGGCAGCTCTTCATCAGCAGCTCATCGGCCCAGAGCCAGGCCAGCAGGTTCGCCAGAGATCAGCTCCTTGCCTCACCACTTATCATGGGGTGGTTAACCCCCCCCACACCGAGGGGTATGGGACCCGGACTCGCATCCTGCTCAGCTTCCTGGGAGTGGGGATGCGGCGGTCCCATGGTGCCCACGCAGCTCACCTTGGGAGGTGAGGCTGAAACAAGGTCTCTTCTGGGTCTCCAGGCACTCATCCGGCAGGGGGGGCGGGTTGGGCTGCTCTGGGAACTTCGGGGTGACCGGGGTGAGGGAAGAGAATGTGACAGGGAGCTGCTCCTGATTCGAGTCCTAGAAGGAGGCTCTAACCAGGCTCCTTCCCCGGCTGTCCAGGGCGAAGGCGAGTGAATCCATACCGCCTTGCGGTGTGCCCCCAGCGGACACCCCAGCACTCACCCTTCCGAGCTGAGCCTCGGCCTGTGGTGACACACAGGATAGCGGTGCTTTTTAATTTATTTTATGTTTTCATATGTTGCAACCCTCCTCCCCTCTGGGTGTTTACACAGGCTCTGCTCCCGAGGCTGGCTGGCTTGCAAGGTTTCTGGGGGCAGAGAGGCAGGGACATTGGGGCCTTAGTCACCATCATGGTATCAACTCATCTCAATCCCATGAGGGACAGGGGCCTGGCTGATGGGACCGCCGGCGCCCCCTGGTCAGGCTGCTTCAGCCTCTGCCCGTCGGCGTGGGGGCTGCTGGCTGAGGGGGGCCAAGGCGAGTCCGAGAAAGCTGCCTGGGAGAGTGGGCCAGGCTGGGGGGTGACTGCAGGGTCTCCCACAGCCTGGCTCTTGTGCTCAGTGCCAGGGATGGAGCGGGGGCGCTGGGCTTTCCAGCCTTCCTGTGCACCTAACTCACTGCCAGGCTCCCCCCAGCCTTCCCGCAATCTCCTGTCCCTCACCCACCATGCAGCCGGCCCAGCCTGGCTTGGGTGCGGCAAGTCGGGAAGCAGCCCTGTGGTCCTCTGATGCAAATGGTAAAGCCTGGGGCCAGGGTTTTAGGAGCAGAAAGAGCCAAGAAATACCATGTCTCATTCCAGCCCTTTCTGTCATCTCATGCCCCACCCTTCCAGCTTGCTTGACTTCTGGCTCTGGAGTCGTGGCATTCTGGCTGGTGGAGCGCCCAGAAGCTGTGTTCGCGTGTGCACTGGTTCTCCTGCCTGGAGTGATTTCTGGCTTGGCCCACTCTTGAACTGTGTCTTGCGTCGCTCAGGTACAGGGACATGTGTGCTGGCCAGTGTGCTGGTTGTGTGAAGGGCAGGAACAGTCCGCTGAGGATGGGAGACGGGAGTCTGCCTGCCAGAGAGCGTCTCCTTCAGCTCCTGGGCAGGCAGGGCTGCTGTGGTGCTAGCGTGAGCCCGTCAGTGTTGACCTCTCACTCGATCTTGGTGCTCCGGAGCCCCAAGTTCTTCCTTCTTCGAGTCTGAGACGAGAGAGAAACTGGGTTGTGCTTGGCTCTGGGGCCTGGTGATGACGGCCAGTCTCCTCCTTACTTAGGCGTTGTGTGGCTGCAGTGTTGCTACTAGCCTGTTTCTGTTCTCTGTATCAGTATTACCCTCCTTCACTTTCACCTTTGTCTCATTCCTGTTGTCACTTTCCCTGTGAAATGAATAAAGTCTCCCAGCTTCCAGTTTGCGTGGGTGGGCAGAACTACAACAACGTAAGCTCTGTCTCCTTTCTTTGGATCAGGCGCCAGCCCCACCACCCTACCAGTTCAGCCCATTGCGCTGGGAGTGCCTGGCCGAGGAAGGGGCCTAAACCAGGGGATCGAGAACCTCCCAGCCTGCAGTTCATGAATACTTCGAGGCTGGGCTTTTTTTTTTTTTTTTGTTATTCAGAGCTGGAACTACCAGTCTGACTTCTGATTGGCTGGAGATAGATAACCAGTGTCCTCTGTGGGGTTGGTGGGATCCCAGCCCAAAGCTCACCCTGGGCCACTTCCCCAACCAGCACGTTTACCTGGTGTGGGTAAATAAATGGGCCTTTGCTTGTGAGCTCTGTATGGTACTGTCACAGCCCAGTCACTCCCCCACTTCCATATTCCCTTCAGGGTCCCTCAGATATTGGGCAGCCCTGCTGAGAAACCCCTGCCCCGGCAGCTTTAGTGCCTAAGATGTAGGTTTGGAAAGGTCCAGAGACAGGGCAGAACGTTGCCTGAGGCTTTCTGGGTCCTGCCCAGGGCAGCCTCTGGGGCCACGTGGCTCCTCTGGGACAGCACCAGAGTGATGCTTTTGCTGCCTTCTCTCCACCTAGATTGGCAAAGGGACAGGTCCGCCCTCTCCCACCAAGGACCGGAAGAAGGATGTTTCCTCCCCGCAGCGGGGCCAGTCCAGCCCCCACCGCAGGAACAGTCGCAGCGAGAGACGGTGAGAGACAGGATGGTGCCTGGGTGGGTCTGAGGAAGCCTTTTCCTTTCTTCTCATCTTCTGGGTCTCTCTTTTTTTGTGCCCATTTCTTCTCCCTCCCACCCTTTCCTCTTCTTTGCCCTCCCTTGGGCAAAGGGAGATGATTTGGGATGGCAGGTTTGGGTTTATGTGTGGACATCTCCCACAGCAAGGCAGTCCCATTTCCTAGAGAAAACAACCCTCAGCTAGGCCACCAGTTACCCCGAGTGGAGCCCTGGTACCGGACCGACAGGGTCCACACGCAGGTCCGAAGCATGTGGCAGCGTGGGGTGTGCAGGAGTGGGGGCGGAGGGGATGGGGCTCCTGCGAGGCAGTGAGTTCTCCCAGCAACGTCGTGGAGGGAGGCTCAAATATTAGGTAGATGGCTTTGAACACAACTTTTGCACCTAAGAGTCTGTGGTTTTTGTCTGTATCTTTTTTTTTTTTTTTTTTTTTTTTGAGACAGAGTCTCACTGTGTTTCCCAGGCTAGAGTGAGTGCCGTGGTGTCAGCCTAGCTCACAGCAACCTCAAACTCCGGGGCTCAAGCAATCTCCCTATCTCAGCTCCCGAGTAGCTGGGACTACAGCGCATGCGCCACCATGCCGGCTAATTTTTTTTTATATATATTTTTAGTTGGCCAATTGATTTCTTTCCATTTTTAGTAGCGACGGAGTCTCACTCTTGCTCAGGCTGGTTTCGAACTCCTGACTGTAGCGATCCTTCGCCTCGGCCTCCGGGAGTGCTAGGATTACAGGCCTGAGCCACCGCACCTGGCTGTTTTTGTCTGTATCTTGATGGCAAAACCAAGCTGTTAAAATACCAGGCCGCAGCCTCTGATTTCATCTCCTACATGTCAGTGTGACTCTTGCTTTAAATATAATTGTCATTTAGGAGCCACCTCTCTGGTGTGAATTAAGGGATATCAGACAGGCCTCTGGCACCAAAATATCCACCATCATCATTGCCTTTGATCTAGGAGGCTTTTTGTAGGCGACAGATTTCCCTTGGAGAAATTTATGCTCTGAGGCGTTACCCAGGGACTGGCAGCCTGGTTCGAACCCACAGTGGAGGGCAGGAGCCTGTGAGAGCCAGGGGCCACGTCACACACACTTCCCCACTGTGCATTGCAGGCCCTTGGAGAATGGAGGGGAAGACGCAGGGGTGCAGGGACAGCCCTGCTGCTCCCTCCCCCATCTCTCTGAGGCCACTCACTGTCCCCTGCCCTGCTCTCTTCCTCCTTGCAGGCCTCGGGTGAGAAGGCCTCCGGAGCCCAAAGCCATGCCAGACCTCAACGGGTACCAGATCCGGGTGTGAGCGGGTGCCAGCAGCCCGGGCCTCCCTGCCCCAGGGGCCAGGATGCACTGCTGGAACCAGCTTCGCTCGCAGGCAGAGAGGCTGGTGTTGGGGCAGGGCGAGGCGGCCGCAGGGAGAGTGTGTTCCAGCTCAGCCCCTCAAGCTGCTCCCCGCCGCCGAGCTGAGCCCTAACTTTGGGCCGAGAGGCAATTAGTATTTTATTTGGAGTTTTAACTCTACAACTGAAGATTAAGATATTTGGGGAAAATGTAAAACAAATGAATCTGCTGAGGCCTGGAAGGCAGGTGTGTAGGAGATCAATGTGCCACGGGTCTGGTGAGGAGGGGTCCGCTGGTTCTGCTGGTGCCCCGGCGTCTCTCTGGGGTTTGGGTGCATCCTGTCTGTGGGAAGTGTCCCAGCCTTCCCAGGCCCTGGGGTGCAGGCTGGGGGATGAGCTGTTTCTCCAGTTCTGCTGCCTGCGCAGAATCTTGACCCAGGGAAAGGGAGCTGGATAGGAATCGTCCTTAGAAAGTCTTTCCTGGCCCATAAACAGGACTTGGCACAGGCCCTGTCTGCCCCCAGAGCAGGAGCCCTGGCCCAGGAGAGGCTCACGGCCTGTGGCTGCCATGGGCAGTGCTGTTGGGCTGACACTGCCTGGCATGGCCCCATGCTTGGGGAGCACTACTGGAGGGCCCAGGGGAGCACAACTGGCACACAGTTCCCAGGCCCCTAACGGGTTCTGCTTGCCCAGTCCCAGCTCTGCCCGTTGCTAGAGCCAGGGGCTCCCTGTGGAGGTTTCTGGGATTTCGCAGAGAGCCCAGAGTTGCACTGGGTCGCCATGACTCTGGGCATTGCATGGTCTGGGCACCAGCCATGGAGCTGTGGCTGGGACAGGGTGATGGGCTGGAATACTCGATCTGGGTCTTCCCCTGGCAGTGCCAAGAGTTGGGTTCTGCTGGGGAAAGTGAACCAGACAGGTATGTGTGCCCAGGCTGCCTCCCCTCCTGAAATCACCCGTTTTAGCTTGGAGGTTGCAGGTGGACAGGCCTGTCGCTGCTCGTGGCATAGTTCTTCAGAACCTGACAGCTGGGGTTCCCAGTAAGCCCGCCATGGCTACTGAGGGAACCTGGTGGGGAAGTGAGAGGACTCGGAGGAGGGCTGGCACGAGCTGGGATGATGTAGGGCACAGGGTTGCAGCGTGGCAGCTGAGAGGGGACCGGACAGAAGGCGGACAGAGCCGAGCTGGGGGGTGTAAGGAGAAAGGGATGTGGCGAGGGAGTTGAGGGTCAGGCTGCCTTGACGGGTAGGGGGAGTTCTGCCTAATGTGCAAAGACATAGTTGTAATGTTTGTCAGGAAGCTGGAGGGAGGATTTCCAAAGGGGGTTGTCCCGGTGTGGAAGGAAAAA